AGACAGAACTAAATTGATGCAGCCCACTTGTGGAGCTACACGTTTCTGCTGGTCTGAGATCTTGAAGTTATCTATACCCTATTAGAGCTTAAGAGAGACATGGTCATAAAAAGAGATGTATCTACAATACACAGGCCTCTCTGTGTCTAATTGTACTAATTTTGTCTGTGTCAGCAGACTCACTTTTGATTAACGCAGTTGTAAAGCGAAGCCAGAATCAGGCCTACTGTTTGTAAGATTTATTCACAGAGATTATATTTTTTTCTTACAGATTTTTTATTTTCAAATTTTAGAAGCCCCAAGAATTGCCCTTAATTCTTGAATGATTGTGTTTAGGGTTCCAAAAGTAAATTAATGAGAAAAATTTTAAATGTTTACAATCTTTTTGAATCTGCAGAGATGCTTCTCTCTAATCAGCTGCATGTAAGCCACAATTGACTATTCAGTTACATATAGGTAGGTAATTTTATCTGACATTTCATTTAGCTACAGTATAAACATTTTACTTGCCCAGTCTATTTGCCTTATCAAAAGACAGCGTCTAATTTTGTATCATAGTGACTGTTCGTCCTTTAACAGCACTGTGACCAGAAAATGAAGAGCTTCTGTCTCTGCAACTGTAGAACTGTGCAATGTAAATGCAGTGCTGAAATTATCAATGCTTTTCTTCCAGAAACTGCATTTGAGTGAAGATGTTGCTGGAGCCACATTCATGGCAGCAGGGAGCTCCACTCCAGAACTGTTTGCATCTGTCATAGGTATAGAGCCCACACACTAGCTTTTATGAGGTCTGCTGTTAAAAACTCAGCAGCAGATCAAGCAGAGCTGTCCAAAAGTGATACTATTCTTCTGTCAATTTATAATCAGCAATTGCAGCTGTCAGCTAGTCTGTGGTTCATGGTATAATTAACTACTCAAAATATCTCATGAAACTGTGAATCTCCTCTCAAAACACAGAGAGGAATGGCTGATTCTGAACATAGGAAGTGAAAGAGATTTACTGCAGTCCCCTGAGAGAGAATTTGAGATATTTGATGACTTTTTTGGCTTCTTTCTTCACAAATAAAGGGATTTAGTTTTAGCAAGGAAGTAGGAGAACCAGGAACATGGGAAAAGAACAAATTAATATATGGATAAGTCAGATCTGTTAAAGGCAGAAGGGCATGATGTACATTACTATTTGAAGTAATCTCTGAAATACTAGAGATTATTGGTATAGAGAGGAGGTCTAAATGTCAAAAGCAGTACCTAATTAAGAGAAGGAAGGACATAGGATTACACTGATAGAGAAAGGGGAAAGCAACAAATTTCATAGAATCATAGAATAGTTTGGCTTGGAAGGGACCTTTAAAGGTCATCTAGTCCAATTCCCCCTGCAATGAGCAGGGCCATCTTCAACTAGATCAAGTTGCTCAGAGCACCATCCAACCTAACCTTGAATGCCTCCAAGGATGGGGCATCTACCATCTCTCCGGGCAATCTGTGCAGTGTTTCAGCATCCTCGTAAAAAATCTTTTCCTTATATCTAGTCTGAATCTACTCTTTTAGTTTAAACCCATTAGCCCTTGTCCTATCACAACGGATCCTGCTAAAAAGTTTTTCCCTTCAAATATTGAAAGGCCTCAATAAGGTCTTGCTGGAGCCATCTCTTTTCCAGGCTGAACAACCCCGGCTCTCTCAGCCTTTCCTCATAGGAGAGGTGTTCCATCCCTCTGATCATTTTTATGGCCTTCCTCTGGACCCTCTCCAACAGGTCCGTGTCTTTCTTGTACTGAGGACCCCAGAGCTGGACGCAGTACTGCAGGTGGGGTCTCATAAGAGCAGAGTAGAGGGGCAGAATCACCTCCCTCAACCTGCTGGCCGTGCTTCTTTGGATGCAGCCCAGGATATAGTTGGCTTTCTGGGCCATGAGTGCATGTTGCTAGCTCATGTCCAGCTTTTCATCCACCAGTACCCCCAAGTCCTTCTCCTCAGAGCTGCTCTCAATCCCTTCATCCCCAGCCTCTATTGATACTGGGAGCTTCCCCAGCCCAGGTACAGGACCTTGCACCTGGCCTTGTTGAACCTCATGAGGTTCACATTGGCCCACTTCTCGAGCTTTTCCAGGTCCCTCTGGATGGCATCCCATCCCTGAGGTATGTCAGCTGTAGCACTCAGCTTGATGTCATCTGCAAGCTTGCTGAGGGTGCACTTGCTCCCACTATGTCATTGATGAGGATACTAAACAGTACTTGTCCTAATATGGACCCCTGAGGGACATCGCTCATCACTGATCTCCATCTGGACATTGAGCTGTTGACCACTACCCTCTGGACGCGACCATCCCACCAATTCCTCATCCACTAAACAATCCACCCATCAAATCCATATCTCTCCAATTTAGAGAGAAGGATGTTGTGGGGAACCATGTTAAAGGCCTTACAGAAGTCCAACTAGATGACATCCATAGCTCTTCCATTGTTCACTGATGTAGTCACTCTGTCATAGAAGGCCACTAGATTGGTCAGGCAAGGCTTGCCCTTGAGAAAGCCATGCTATCTAAAATCACCTCCCTGTCCTCTGTGTGCCTCAGCATAGCTTTTGGGAGGATCTGTTCCATGATCTTCCCAGGCACAGAGGTGAGGCTGACAAATGGGTAGTTCCCAGGGTCCTCCTTTCTACTCTTTTTAAAAATGAGCGCAGTGTTTCCTTTTTTCCAGTCAGCAGGGACTTCACCTGACTGCCATGACTTTTGAAATATCACAGAGAGTGGCTTGGCAGCTTCATCAGCCAATTCCCTCAGGACTCTGGGATTTATCTTATCAGGTCCCATAGACTTATATATGTTCAGGTTCCTCAGATGGTCACGAACTTGATCTTCTCTTACAGTAGGAGGGACTTTTCTCCCCCAATCCCTGTCTCGAGGTCCACTCACTCAAGAGGTATGGAAAGGGAGGTTGCCAGTGGATACTGAGGCAAAAAAGTTGTTTAGTACCTCAGCCTTCTCCTTATCCATTGTTACCAGTTTGCCAGTCTTGCTGATCAGGGAGGGTACACTTTCTTTGACCTTCCTTTTCTGGCAGACATACCTGTAGAAGCCCTTATTATTATTCTTTGTGTCCCTTGCTAAGTTCAGCTCCAGTGATACCTTGGCCTTCCTGACCCCATCCCTACACAACTGGGCAATGTCCCTATACTCTTCCCAGAGAACCTGTTCCTGCTTCCACTACCTTTACATTTCCTTCTTGCCCTTTAGTTTGACCAGCAGGTCTTGACTCAGCCATGCCAGTCTCTTGCCTTCCTCTCCTCATTTCTTACACCTGGGGATTGAGAGCTCTTATGGTCTATGGAAAGTGTCCTTAAAGATCTGTAAGCTCTGTTGTGCTCCCTTCTCCCTGAGAGCAGTTTCCCAGAGGGTCGTATTGACTAATTCCTTGAACAGCTGGAATTTTCAGTTCAGGGTCCTGACTTTATTTTTGCCTGACCCATTTTCCTCAGGAGTGTGAACTTCATGACTGCATGATCACTGCAGCCCGGGCTGCCTCCAGTCTTGACATTATTGATTAGCTCACTTGCCTTGGTGACCAACAGTATCACATCCTCTCTGGTAGGGCTGTCTATTACCTGGCATAAGAAGTTATCCTCAATGCACTCCAGGAGTCTCCTGAATTGCCTACAGCTTGCTGTGATACTTTTCCAGCAGATGTTGAGTGGTTGAAGCCCCCCAGCAGGATGAGACTCTGCAAGCGCGATGCCTCCTGTAGCTGGAGTAAGAAGGCTTTGTCAGTAGGCTCCTTTGGGCAGCCTGTAGTAGTCACCAACCACGAGGTTCCCTTTGTTGCCTCGGTATCCAATTCTTACCCATAAGCTTTCAGCCTACTTGTGGGTATTCTTCAGACAGCTCTTCACAATCTATCAATTTCTTGATGCAAAGGGCAACCCCTCTGCCCCTCTTTCCTTGCCTGTCTCTTCTGAATAGCCTGTAGCCATTGATAGCTGCACTCCAGGCATGAGATTTATCCCACCAAGTTCCAGTAATGGCAAGTAGGTCATAGCTTTCTAGCAGCATGGTGGCTTAAATTTGATAAATCTGTCTTTAGTAAAGCCTTAGTAGGCTTTCTGCTGCTATCCTGACTGACATTTTTACAGACTTTAGGGAAATACAGTCTTAAAAAAATGCACTATAACCTCACGTCCAGCTTATTAAAAAGTGGAGAAGTGTAAGCCTTTAAGGCTCCCTTCAGCGAAAGATTTAAAATACAAGTAGATACAGCTCTGTAGTGCGTTCACATTATCTTTGGTTCTGTCTCAGGCTGAAGATTACATTAGATAATCCCTGGAGGTCCACTCCAGCCATTAATTCTTGTCATTCTGATACAGTTATGTTACAGATGAATATCTAAGGCATAGGTGGGATCAGTACTAAGGGAAATCTGAAAGTCGGTACTAGAACAGGTTAAGTCTGAATCCTGATTGTCTGAGTCAAAAGGCACACATTACTGCACTCAAAGTGGCTACGAGTTTTTTGAGGGAAGAAGCTCTTACTCCTATGAGCCATTGCAAGGAAGAACACTGTAAATACTAAATATCTGGGGAGAAAGGTTTCTGTGCTTTATTATACTGTTTTAAATAAATTCCCTGCTCCCGATGTGACTGGAGATGTTTTATACTCATTTGAATGGATTACTGCACCACTAACAACCAAGCTGTGAAGTACAGGACTTACTGTTGAACTAACTAGCTAAGAAATAATTTGCTTTTAATAAAAATATATATGTAGAGATGTTAAGCCAAAAATGGGGAGCTGCTAGCTAGACTGAAAGCACAAAATATTCCGCAGAGAAGAGAGTGTTTATTATAAAACATGTTTTGGTTAAACTTTCAAACCATCTCTTGTTCTCAGGTAGTACATGTTTTAAGTAATTGCCTGTGACCTAAAAAGAAATGACAGAGGTAATAATACATGTTTTGCTCCCTCTGCAGGTGTATTTATCACTCACGGAGATGTAGGAGTAGGGACCATTGTCGGGTCAGCAGTTTTCAACATCCTCTGTATTGTTGGTGTCTGTGGATTGTTTGCAGGACAGGTTAGTAAGATACTTATCTTTATGGAGTTCAATTGCTTAGAATTTAGGGGTTTCCACGAACAAATATTTAAAAAAAAAAAGGATTAAGTCAAAATGAAAAATGAGCTGATATTGTGAAAAACGTCAAACGTTGGAAAGAATTTACAAATGCTTTACAAATAGCAAATGTTTCCAAAAAGTTCAGCTGTAGCTTCAGCACTCTGAACGTGTAACATACAGAGGAAACTGGTTCATCTTCATACAATACTGTGTTCACAGTCAATGGATCAGTGACATCTGCTAATCCTTCCTGGAACTGATGATGATCAAAGAATCTAGAACACAAGCATGAGATTTGCTCCATCTACTCACTAGATGGTTAGACTGTGTGTCATTATTTTTTCAGGTATTAACTCTGATAAATCTACGCATATAATGAAGTGGGAACCGGTGATTTGCTGCAGTACAATGAATTGTACCTTACAGTTGAAATTATGACCAATTAAAATATCATTAGTAAGAAATGTATTTCATTAATGGAAGCTTCTATGTGATTTTTATTACTAGTGGTTATTATAGATCCACTGTCTAACAGACTGATAGGTCTTCCTGTTAGCATAAAACTGTGATTGGTTGCAGAATTGTTGCTAATAATAACTCTGCTCACACATCTGAGTGAGTGCAAGATAGAGGCCTTTGTTTTGTCTTCAAAATCGCATATTATTGTTGGCTGAAGGTGTGATGTTTTTCAGGTGGTTTCTCTCACCCAGTGGGCTGTGTTCCGGGACTCTGTGTACTACACCATATCTGTGGTCATACTTATTGTTGTAAGTAGTTCTCTTACCAATTAATGTATTTCATTGCTTGAATTTTTGGAGGACCAGCCTGCTAACCATTGATATACACTGGTAAACAGTTATTTTCCTAGCTAGTTCTAGTGATATCTGGAAGCGAGGGCTCAGCTCCGTAATATGGTCCAAATATGAAAATTTCATACAGCCCCACAGAGTATGTGTCTATCGTGTTCATCACTGTCGATTCATTTTGTACCTACAGTCTGTGAAGTTCTGCAGGCTAGCAGGCCACTGTTACACAGTGCTGTTAGTACTGTCTTCTGACCTAGGGGTCTGCTTGTTGGGGAGATGAAAAATTTTGATCTGCACCTCTATTTTAAATAGAGAAGGTGGCTGTTTCTTCTATGCAGTAATTTTATTTTACAGATCTTAGAGCACAGGTGAGATACGACTGTGTTCATCTACAGCAGTGTAGTGGTTCCTGAATGTACGCGTTTACTGTGTCTGGTGGCAAGGAGGGGAGGAATCCACTTAGTTTGTTTTGTAATAAATATGGAACACTACTTGACCATTCAGTTACAGGAGTTACATAGGGTGGAGTAAAATGTGTATAGCCACCTGGCCTAAGAGCAGAAGTAAAATGGCTGCCTTCTCTGCTAAAACTAGTCTGTCTGTTAAAAGGACTCAGAGCTTGCTCTCTTCAGAATACATGACTTTGCTGTCACTTACGCAGCACAGCGTGTGGGTACATCTGTGAATATGTGTTTTTCGTATGCTCACACTGGTTTACTAAATAGTATTTATAATCTTTGAGAGGAATCCAAACCTTGTTCACAAGATTTGTGCTTTGTCAGGGGCATGATCCGTACAATGAAAATTCTGATTAGAAAGGGTCAAAACTTGAGTAGCTTCTGGCTAGATATGACTGATATTTATTAGATAAATTTGACTGTTTGTCAAGATAGATCAGAGAAGTGGTCAATTTATGTATTTTGTTGTGTTTTTTTTCCTTCTTCTAGTTCATATATGATGAGAAAATAGAATGGTAAGTTCTGTAAATTATTCCCTACAGTCTCATATTTGCCATGAGACTTACCAGTAAAAAGAGATGCAGTGTAATTATCTTTCATTCATACATGCTGGAAGTATGAGCTGGATTTGACACCTAGGAAATCCTGCATACTTTCTTTGGTTATATTTTTTATGATGATCAAGGAAACTAAAAAAAATTTGAGAACCTGGAAACATTAACAAAGTAAACAGGCTATATGTGAGGCTGAAGACTCACATGTGCAGAGAGGGTACCCAGAGTTCTGCTGCTCTGATTCTGGCTGTTAACATTTATGAGGGTACTCAGTGTCTCAAAGGATAGTCGAAGGTGAGATCCTAGTGGAAGATCATAAGCATCTTCTAGAAGAGTCCTTTCAGAGTGTCTGACCTGTGCTTCAGCACTGAAATGACAAAAGGCCTTGGCATTATGATCCTCAGAGAGTAGCTATGGTTTCAGTCTGCATGGCACATTTCTGAAATATATGCATAACATTTTATTTGCATGTTTACTGGAACTTGAGAGTCTGCTTGTCCTCCTATTCTGCCCAGACATCGTCTAATCTTAATGACGTGAATCCTGTGTACACAAATGTGACTTATACTAGGTGTTGAATGCATACTCCTACATAAAACTTGTAAAGCATACAGCTGTTTGAATGACCTTTTAACCCTTTTTTTTTTTGTCTCTTTGAGGTGGGAAAGCCTTGTACTCATCATTATGTATTCATTCTACATACTTATCATGAAGTAAGTGCTTTTCCTCTCCATATGCTCTTTCAGTGTTAATTGACTGTCATTCTTTTGGTGTGGTTTTGTCCTTGGCCTTCCTGCTCTGGACAATACAGCCAGTCATGTTTCAGTGTAAGATCTCTTGCTTTTTCATGCTTAAATCAGTTTCACTCTGGAGTTGTGCTCAGTCAACAGCAAATATTTTCATGCATCCTTTTTGTAGTGCACTGAGTAAAGTAGCTTTCAGAAATACTTGAGAGAAAATGTCATTTTCACAAAGATATATGATAAAGTCCACTGGGTACTCTGGATTGTAAGCACACAGCATTTCAGCTATTGCACATATTTTGTAACCTCTGGAGAACAAGGTTGAGGAATATTATTGAGATTGCTAAGCATGTGTCTAAGACTTTGGACCGTCTCATATCAGATTCTATACTGACATCCTTCTTCTGTAGTGTCACTGCCTCTGACAGGAGAGTCAGAGGTCTGACTGTTGCTACAACGGTCTGTGAGTCCACTCTTCTGCTCCAAGTTGCTTAGACTTAGCCTTTGGTGCCCTCCCCTCACAAATCACCCTTTTTGGAAGTTTAGCCTCCCTTTTATCCTACACCAGGTCTTAGCAGAGTTCATTGACAGTTCTGGTAGATCCCACTCTACTGCTAAAATAGATGCATTCTTTCTTTAGAATACTATGGCCATCAGTCCCAGAAATGCTCAAGCACTTGCCCTGGGGAATACAGTACTTGAGAGAAACAGTGAGGTGAATTGCAAGCTGATGTGGGTGAAAAGAAGCCATCGTATAGTGAATGTCCTGGCTCCAAACCTCAAATCTCCAGTGTTTTGCCATCACTAAATCTGCTCTAGTGTCTTTTTGTAGTTTGCTGTATCTCATAAGAGATAGGGGCAGCCCTTGCTTTTCTATAATGCTGCCACTGGATTGGATAGTCCTTTCTCTTAACTTCCTATTGTCAGAGAACGTATATCTAGGCTTTACTGCTTGCCTGCATAAGCTGGTCTCAGACACTTAAAAGTTCCATGAGGAAATGCAACAATCCACCCTTTTCAGACCTTTCCTTTGCACTTTCAGGTACAATATGAGGATGCAAAATTTCTTCACCCTTAAAAGCAAGAATGTTGCAGATGGTGACACTGTCAACAATGAGCTGGAAGATGGTAATAAATATTATGCCTCTAGTTGTGATGACCCATCCATTCCATTACTATGGAAAGGTAAGGCTGAGCAGACAGGACTTCAAAAAAAGAGTAGTTCACAGGATATCCTTTTTATTTCTTTAACGCGGATCAAAACAGTGTTACTATTTGTTCATAAGCAAGAATTCTTATTGGGTTAACTTGACAACTCAGCAGTCATACTGCCAGATTACAAAAACCCAAACAAAATATTTTTTTTTATGTTTTGAAAACAAGCTGCTTTGCCCATAGGCAGGTTTGCTCCCTTTTTATCTCCTTTTCAGTGATGAGCTATAACACTGTGAAAGAAATATTTTTTTTTGCCAGGAAGAAGGTAATTTTCACTTCAAAAATTAGTTTGGAACTAGAAGCTGAGACTTGGGTGTTCAAGAAAAGGACAAGGGCAGATCAGTGGGCAAGAGGGGTTATGTGTTGAGTTCAGATCCTCCGAAGACTGGCTTTCACATGCCTAAATAGCTCGGCGTACATTGCCAAGCACTTATGTAAAATTGAGAAATGCAGATTCTTTGCTGTCTGTGTCTTTGTCATAAAGGGGAAGAAGATGATACCCAGCTTCTGGTACTGAAGGTAAGCAAACATACCTGGGTATTTTTGGCTTTTTTGAAAGCCTGTTTTTGTCATTGTCTTACCCTCTTCTATTCCCTCTTTTTTCTGTAGAGCAAAATCATTCCTACCATCAAAGCACAAACCATATAGTTTAGTGAGCTTAACAAGTGTGGTCTCCTTGCTTTGTTCTTTGCAAACACTTCCTATTCTAGGAGACTGAGCTCAGCAACAATGTAGGTAGCATTTGGAAAGGTCCTCATGTAATAACAAATAGTGGCAAAATGAGTTTAGAGCAGACTTGGAGAGTTCCACTCTTCTGCTTTCAGTATTTAGACTGGGATCTCTTCAAGGTAGGTACTGTCACTTACTACAGGTTTGTGCAATGACAGCACACTGATACTCTGGCCTCAGATATGATGTTTAGGCAATATAGAGATTTAAGATTATTTCTCATAAGACATTGTAGCATGATTAAAGGAGGATGTCTTTGAAATACTTTGATCTCATTTTACAATGAACTTTTGTGAACATTGACTATGATAGAGTGAAGTCTGACACTGGGATGGGGAGCTACATACATACAAGTTTCAGAGGTTACGTCCTAGGGCAGTTATTACTCACATATTCAAGTGGGGACATAGGAAAAGGGTAATCCAGTGAAAGAACACAGATATTAGTGGCTTTTATTTCTGAGGCATTTGTTGGGTTCTGATGTCATCTCCCTGCATGCTCTCCTCTCTAGCCACTGTGTAGTATAAAGGGAAGATAGCAGAGTGCTTGCCTGTCTGCCTATTTCCTTTGCAGGAAATGTGAAGATTATTTAATGCTTGTGAAGAACATGCAGAACTTTTAGGAAAAGGAGCAAGAAAGCTAATAAAAACCTGGACTCATGAGAATGATATCTCTACCAGCAGCTGTCCACAGCAGATTTCCTCTCTTATTTCCTTCAAAGATGCACTGAGACTGCAGTTTCAGTCAGATCCCCTTTGCCTTCTCCAGCACCTGTTTCACAAATACATGCTGCACTGGAGGGACCATTGTTCAAAGTGTGAGACTGTAGGTATTATCACCAGCAAACTTAGCTGGGATGAGAGAGGACACGAAGAAGAGATTAAGGAGGTGACAGAGTTTGGAGTGAGCAGTGGGAGAGGAGAATGGCAGTGTTAGCCAAGCTACTTTGTAGATGGGTGCTTTATGTGTCAAGAAACTGTCCTAGAAAACCATCACATGGCTGCCTGCTGCATCTCCCTCCTTTTGAGTCAAAATATGCTATGACCTTTCAGTGACTCGCTGTTAGTTGACACTTGTCTGGCTTCACAAGCTGAGCTGCACCTTCCCCAGCAGCAGCTTTCAGAAACAGGAGCACTGCTAGTAGCAGGGAGAGAACTAGAGCTGGCCTCTGCCTTTACTCAAACCAATGGTTAGCAAGTTTCAGGTTTTACCAGAAAACCTCCCTTGGCTTCACCAAGATGTAGGTTTAACCTTAATCTGATTTTCCACAAGAGGAAAGTCTGATTACTTCCCAAATCATTTGCTTTGGGTGAGGAACTTTCTTCCAACCAAGGATGGTTAGTCTGTTGCACGAGGTGCAGATAAAAGGGGAGTTCACAGCTCTCTTTTATGCTTGTAAGTTTTATTACTTTCAAGAGCTTCCAATGGTACAACATGAAAGCTTCCATTACTCAAGTTTCAGGGAGAAAAAAGAGAACTTTTCACCATAAAATAAATTCAATTTCAAGTACAAGTTCTACACACGCAGGTAAAGGTGAAATATTTGTACTTTGTGAATAATGCTATTTTAAAAGTACAGATATGTGGCTCAGTGCTCTTGGCTTTTATTAAGTTGACCCACCACCAGGTGGCACAGTTCAATTCCTGCCTAAAACCAGAAACTCTTGAAAAGTGAGTTTCTGAGGGCCTGATCAGGAGTCAACTAAGTCAGCAAGAAGCTTTCTGTTGATTTTGACAGGGTTGTTGGTGATGACCCTTTGTGGTGAGCAGGAAGTTTAGGTAGTTTCATAAAAGGAAAAGCCATTCTCAGAAGATATTTTTTAAGGAATATCACAAAGGAGAAGCGAAAAAGGCTTTTCTCTGTCTCACACTTGTGAAAACCACTTCTGCAATTTTTAGGTGGAGCTTGTTTGTACCATATAGGCCCGAGGCATGTATGTTTATGGGCATAGGGATTGAGACTGGAGAGCTGTTAGGAAAATATGAGTAATGTGTTAACAGTAAATCAAAACAGCTTCAGTTAGTTATATAATTTATAGTGATGTATTCTACACCAGTACTGAGTTTTTTATCATAGTATTTCATTAAAGCTGAGTATGTTTGGTCACTGTTTTCTTAGTGCTCTAAGAAGCAGTTCCAGAGTAACTGCAGTGCTTTCATGTTTTCCTGACACTGTAAGATAAAGAAGCACTTTGAAGACATCACTGGAGAAACTCACTTGAGAGCAGTTAATCTGATGAGACTATTAGAAAAGATATCTGGCCTTTTTGACTTACCAGGATTGCTGTCAGACATTTCTTTTTCTTTGTCTAACTAAAGCAAATACTAAGGTACTGTGGTTGAGTCCTCTTCTGTGAGGACTGTTTCCTATGAAGCTTGTCTGGCTACATATTCCTTCAGAGAAAAGCTGCTGTGCTCTAACTGTAGGAGTCATTGGAATGGATGTGCTCCTTATTTGCGTCATCAGCTGCAGTGCTCAGCAAGGTTAATCTGTTTTAGATGTTGGGGTGGAGGGAGGATAATAGCTCCTTTATGGTTACCAAATGCAAAATTACTACTAGTCCTGTTCTCCATTGGAGATATTAAGCCAGAAGACAAGACTACATAGTGGATTCTTTATGAAACCGAAAATCTCTTTAGATGCTTCAGGTGACTCCAGTGTACTCATTGAAAACTCATTTTAGTGAAACAAAACAAGATACTCAAATGCTAAATGGTAAAAGATATAGCTGTTTGCTGGTGATTTACAGGCTTGCTAGGTTTTTTCTTGTTGAATGATAATGGAAAGATATATTTCTTCGATTTCAAATATGTTAGAATATGCTTGAGACAGCAAAGCCTCTATTGCATGATGTGGTTTACATGCATACGTGGGTCCAATCTTCTTCCTGAAAAACAAAAATATTTCAACACTGAAACAATGCAAAAAAAATAACATTATAGATTTCTGTGTGTTTAGAACAAGTCCATTTTAATTACTTTGTTTGAGTTGAATGTTTTCTTAGATTTCCTTTGCTTGCTGACTGGAACTGTGTACTAATATGTATCTTTCACTTCTACCTCCTAAATTCTCTTCCTCATCTTAATGTAAGTAACTTAATGCAAAAGGGGAGTGGGAGGGTGAAGCCAAGCTAAGCAAAGCAGAAAACAAGCAGCAAAGAATTTTGTTGGGTTTTTTTTACATACATTTTATTACATGTAGTAATTAATATTTATTACAGTCATATGCATATTTCCTGCCCTGCTTTCTAACACCACATGGGTATGTCTCCTGTCTGCTGAGCCTTGCTTTTCTTGCTATGTGTAGTCTGTAGCATTTGTGAGAATATTGGTTTGTTGTTGAGCTCTGAAAGTCCTTGCCTTTACTTGTGTTGATTCCTGATATAATTTTGTCCCTCCGTCTATGTTCTTAACACGGTAGAACAAAACTCTTAACCTTAGTATAAGTTCCTTTATATTAACAAAGGCTTACTTATAACATATGTTTGTTCTTGCCAATTGTTGTTTTACACTGTTTCAAATCTTGTCATGTTAGAGATATTGATAATATTCTGTGAAGGTCAGGCAAAGATTTCCAAAAGGAGTGAGTACAATATTAGGGACCTCTTGATGTGCAGCACCTTGATCCAATGGGATAGCTTTGGAGGTTTGAGGAGCACTGTCTACACTGCCACAGTGCAAGTGCTTTTAGAGAAGGCTTACAAAACCATAGTGGGACATAAGCAAAGAAAACTGGTATGACAGCGTGAATGGCTGGGTAAAAACTGCTTCCACTCATCTGAGAGTGGGTTGGTGGCCACCTTAGCGGAGTGAAATCCCCTTTCAGCTGTGATCTAAACGAAGTGCACAACTGATAAGCAGATTCACCAGGCTGCAGAAATATTATAGGAAAGTCACTTGTAAATTCGAGCATTCAAATGAATATTAGCCCCTCCTGATCCTGAAAAGAATGACTCCTGGTGATGGGAAGCATGGTATGATCAGTTCCACAACTAACTCTGTCTATTGTGATCATTAGTGAAGGGGATGCAGCAGTATGGCAAAAACAGTGTTGTGATGGTGGATGAGATCATCTGCTCCAGTCCCCCCAAATACCGATTCCCTGAAGCTGGGTTACGGATTATGATTACAAATAAATTTGGACCACGCACCAGAATGCGGATGGCAAGCCGACTCATCATTAATGAGGTAAGTTCATTAAGAAAACAATAAATGATTATGAAGCAGAGGTTGCCAAAGAGCCGTGCTCATAGTGATTCTAGAATTCAGATTCTCCCAGATTCTCTGGGCTAGAACTATGTCTTTCTCTAGCAGCTATGTCACTGCAGATTTGAAGATGGATTCACAATTGGAGATGCTGCCTGTCTTAATGGGAGGGCAGTCACCAAAGAGGGACTTCCTTATCTCCCTGACACTGATAACAAAAGATACTTGTTTCAGTGTGTGTGTGCTTGCGCATATGTATGTGTGCACATCTGGATTTTATCTGCAGCAGAAGAATTGGTTTTGATCATTACAAAAGTGGTCAGGCTAAGAAGAGGTGATGGACAGGCCAACCAAAAATCTGTAAGAGCTGCTCTTATGATAGCAGCACATCAGCATCACATCAGGTATTTGCCTACCTCTTTAGTTTCAGTGTAGTCCTCCGTTCAAAATGAAAATGGACTAAAATATTTTCATAAGGGGAATTTATGCTGGACATTTTCATTTAACTCCTACTTCATATATTGTCACCACCATACATTGTTTTTTTCATATCCTGCAGCTGATGTGACAGGATTAGCCAAGTGATGCTGTTCTGAGCTTGTATGTACTTGGGGTGAAATCTTTGGCCTGCCAGCCTTGGCTTCTGTGAAGGTAGAAGTTTATCTTTTGCTCCCTACAACGTCAGTTATGAGAGGTTTTTACTCTGGCAAATGAATTAATTTCAATGGTTTAGGAAATACAAGCTTCAGCAAGTTCCTAGAATTTGAACAACATAACACAGTTCATCTATCTACCCAGCATTGTGAATACCACAATGAAAGAACTCAACACTAATATATTTGTAGCAAAAGTCCAGTCTGACAGTAAAACAGTGAAATGTTTATTAGAAAGTCAGCTTGGTGGCATATGGTCAAGGTCAGATGGGGCACACAGGAGCAATTGACTCTCTAAAAGTTCTGCTTTGAAGGCAATTCACTGATCAGAAAAAATTTCTTAATGAGTATGTGCGGAGAGATGATACTTGCTAGTTCAACATCTGCAAAAAATATTCTCTAAACCAGAGCAATTTGAATCTATGTTCTTATGTATTCTCAGTGCCAAAGTTTTCTAAAGTATTCAGATACAAATTTTGCCTATTTTTAATTACAGTGTGTTAATACTAGTTTCAGATTTTTTTTTGCATATTGTGCAAGTTATTTATTATTTATTTTTGAAGGCATTTCAAAGCACTTTTTAGGAAGTTGCAGCAGTTTGTCGTGAAGAAGAGAACACTTTTCGACCTTTCATTATCTCATCTAACAAACTAAAAATATTTCTTTGAAAGTAGAAAATTACTGTTACATCTCACATTCTCCAGTGTGTTAATGGCCATATACACTGACATTTAAAACCTATCTCTGTAATTGTTGTGCTGTGTATTGAAACTGTAGCAGTCTTATACATATCTGCAGGGGCAATTTTGAGCTTCATGAAAGTATGTACTTGGACAAGGACAACAGGAGTTAGAGAAGGAGAGAGAAGAGTTGGACTAGAGTAGGGAGAGATGCTGAGTAGTGAGTCATTTATAAGTCAGCTCTAATAGTGTGGGAATGTCTTTGAGTGTTACCACTAGATTATGGTGCTTTTGCTGATTTGAGTGGGAACTGTTGAGTGAGAAGTGCTTCAGAATAACCATGCTCATTAAAACATGATGTGGAAGAACAGATATGACAACTGTCGTCATCATGGTGAGAAAGACTCCTGACAGTAATTTTGAGATGGATAGTCAACACTTCCTTATGAAGACAGGTAGGCCACAGAGAGATGTTTATTGCTGATTGGAAGGAAGGCTTTCTGGAGAAACATCATGGCTCATGTGACTGGAGCCAGCCAGACAGCAAAATCCAGATTTAACAAATTCAATATTTCCTAAACTATGGCGATTTTTTCTTTGACACTGTGCAGCGTCAGCGGTTAATCCAATCTGCCAATGGCTCAAGCAAACCACTTCAGAATGGGAGACATGAGAATATTGAAAATGGGAACATCCCTGTGGTGAACCAAGAGGAGGAAAATGAACAGGACAATCTGTCTCCCTTTTCATTGCCAGGTAAGGCTTACTTTCCAGGTATTTATAGTAAGGAAAGAGAAGATAATTAAAATGCCAAACACTAGATTGTAAAAGACAATGTATATGGGGAGAGAGGAGGAACGGGATTAATTTGACTGTCTGAAGGCTGGATTTGATGACAGTAAAACTGGGCTAGAGACTACATGGCTAAAAGCAGATCTTAGGAAAGTATTTCCAGCCATTATGCACAATAATGGTAGAAGTGCTGATTTGCCAGAGGCAAAGGGAAAGCAGGTAAGGGTTTATATTAAAAAACATGTCAGACCAACTTGAGGGAGACTGCACTGCTAGTGATTTTGAAGTCAACAGTTAATAATGACTTGCTGAAGATTGCTGGGCCAGAGGCAGCTAGGTGTATAAATATGTAATAACTTGATTTAGTGACTGTAGGGAAGGCTTCTTGGATGAAGAATAGGAAAGGTTTAGGCAGAGAAAGAGTGTTTGTTATCTTTGGCAGTGTTTAAAATTCTTAGAATAGCAGTACATAATAATATTCACCTTTTGAAATTTTTTGGAAGCTCTTTGGTGTGAATGGCTATTTATAACCAACCTTCTTATGTTGATGCTCTTAGCACGTTGCAGGTTGACTCTCCCCCAAATGCTTTGGAGATTAGATAGCAGAGATTAGATCACCCCTCACAGACATGTAGTCTGTAGTTGTCTGTCACACAGTTACTGTTTAACACAAATATTACATGGCGTAAATGAGTATCACATGCAGTGAAAAAGAAGGAAGAATTTTCCGTATTGTATGTGATTCTAATATCTTGGAGATCCCATTACTTCAGTTGCTATCATTTTAGAAGAGATGTTTGACTGAACAAACATTGAAGCATACTATGTAAAGACTGGATAAAACCATATGTTTTCATGTGTTACTGTACTGTGAGCTTCTTACAGTCTGCAGTTATGGATTTTCATCGGGGCTGAAGAATGGAAACAAACTGGTTCACTGAAGATAGGCCCGTTAGATGGGCTCCTGATAATTAATGAGATGATGAAAAAAATGATTTTATTGTATGGTGAAATAAGTGGATCCAAGTCAGCAATATACTTGAGCACATTAACGTGTTAATAATAATAATAATAGTAACAACAACAGTAACAGTAATAAACAACTTCTAAAGAACAAAACTGTCTCCTCAAAGTTAAAAATGCAAGATTCAATGCACATGTTGGCAAAGAAGATTTTTTTTAACTGACTTGTTTTTATCAAGTTTTTGGATTCAAGTTGTAATTAGGGCAGTGCAATTGTGCGTTTCTTCTTGCATTCCAGAACAATGCAGAAATTTTAACATGTGGCAGACATTACCTAGTGACCATATTTGGATTTGTTCAATACTCAGACAACTTCTTTATGATTAAAAAATAGATTTCAGAGTAGAGCTTCCTAAGTGTGTGACATTCACAATAGACAAAATGCTTTGAACTAAGGAGGGAGTTATTAGTTATGCCATTGGTGTTTTTTAAATGCAGTTTTTCTGCATTTTTGAGGAGGTCTTTGAAGATAATTGACGTGTAGCAGGCCAAAGTGAAACCACTGATGATACAGTTCCTACTGGAATGGAGCAAAAGTTCACATGAACACAAAGAGTTGCGTAAAAGTGGTAAAGTGATTGTTTAAAATCTTCATCGTTATCTTCAGGTTTTGTTACTGCAGTTGTCTGGAGATGATTATCTGTTGGCTGGATTCTCATTGCTCAACTCATGTATTCTGAGGGAGAATTCTTTTATTTTTGTTTTCAGAAGTACCACTTTAATAACATGGGAGAAAATTTAAAGAATCACCATCATTCTTTGTTGTTGTTTAAGTGCTGTGGCACAATCAGTAACCTAAAAGTATCCTGATGTGTAAAACTGGCTTTAGGTGAAAGGTAGTTTGCAGACAGTTTCCCAGAATACCCTCTGGTTTTCTTTTGATATCTTTTCAGCCAGTTACAAGACGCATACATTTTCTAAAGATCAGAAGTTCATGTATTCTTTCAGTACTATGAAGAGCTCTATGAAGAACAGGCTTTCACTTTCCAATAGTACTTTCCAAATCAACTGTTTATGATGTGCTAAGTAGAAAATTCACTCCAGTATCTTAAGAGTTGCAACAGAAATCGCTGTGAATTGGCCAACCCCCCTTTTTTTGCTGTTCTGTAGTCACCTTTTTTAGCCTAGTTTAGGGTTTGCCTTACCTTCTTCAAATTGCGTGTTCTAGATCCTTTTGCAAGAACAAGTTTTTTTTCTGAAACAGAAATAAATGTAAGTGAAGTTCAAAGCACTACATGATCTCTGAGTGATTCCTAGTAATCATTTGCTATCTGTAAGTTTTCCGTATTGTTCTCTGTTATCCTCTATCTAGCAATAAATGTAGGGCTTTAGCATACAGAAATAGAGAATAAAATTGTTACCTGAAAACAGTCTCAAACTACAGCATCCAGCCTAGATCCCATATGTCAGACATCGAGAGAGATTCATCTCCAGGTGTGGTTCAGGCCTGTCTTGAAACAGGAGATAACACATAGTTTTTATGGAAACTACATACGGTATTGTAAAAAACAGCCTTTGCCTTTGGTTTCTGTGTGGGAAGAAACATTTTCTTTAAAAAAGGAATTTCTTTCTTGACCTAACCCTTAGGCCATGATGATTATCGTCCAAGAGAAAGGCTCATTTGATGCTTTGCAATTCGATTACTCTACAGTTGTTTGGAAACAGGTCTTAAACTTTAAAAAAAAACCACTACAGATCAGAATAAAGCAGGATGTAACTGAGCAGGCATATGTTGACAACAAAATGATGTGTAAAAGCCCTTGCATAGCTCAGTAGTCTTTTAGAGCCCAGAATCAGAAAAGCACTTCTCTGCAGCTCTTAATGGATGCTTAAATCCCATTCACTGTCACATGTTCAGGATCCTTTAAAATACTCAGAGTTCTCAGCTCCTGCTGGTTTCACAGAAATGAAGAACTGCTTCTCTTACAGGATTGGACCATGGATGATTTATGTAAGTCATGATAGTGTTAGCTAAAATAGGAATAATAATTCCCAGAGCTAAAATGAGATGGCAATAAAGGAGATTAGCAATCCTGGCCATTTTTGCATGGATCCAAAATATGAAGACAACGTGTAGGATAGAGGCAAAAAGGAATTAACAGTACTTACTAAAAACATCAAAAATGTTTCTACTTGGTCAAACCAAATGTTTGTCTCACCCAATATTCTGACTCCAACTATGACTTTATGAAGAAGCCTGGGGAAGAATGAGATGGGACAAGCTATTTCAGCTATTTTCAGCTCAAGGAACTTTCTGGACTCAATGTAATGTCTGAGTACTTAAAAATCCTTGATGTATATCTTCTTCATTAACTGTCTAATTCTCACTGAATCTTTGCAAATATTTAATACCCACAGCATCCTTTTTTAAGAGTTTCATGGTTGTGTGAAGAATCATCTTTTAGTTGCTTTGAACCTGTCTCCTACTAGCTTCATTTGACATCTTTTATTGAAAAACACAGTGAACAAGGCAATCCCCATAGAGTCATAGAATCATAGAATGGTTTGGGTTGGAAAGGACCTTAAAGATCATCTAGTTCCAACCCCCCTGCCATGGGCAGTGACAACTTCCCCTAGATCAGGTTACTCAAAGCCTCATCCAACTTGGCCTTGGACACCTCCAGGGATGGAGCATCCACAGCTTCTCTGGGCAACCTGCTTCAGTGCCTCAGCACCTTCATTGTAAAAAATTTCTTCCTTGTATCCAGTCTAAATCTCCCCTCTTTCAGTTTAAAGTCATTGCCCCTTGTTGTATCACTACATGCCCTTGTAAAAAGTCCCTCTCCAGCTTTCCTGTAGGCCCCCTTTAGGTACTGGAAGACTGCTAGAAGGTCTTCCTGGACCCTTCTCTTCTCCAGGCTTAACCATCTCAACTCTCTCAGACTCTCTTCATAGGAGAGATGCACCAAGCCTCTGATTATCTTTGTGACCCTCTTCTGGACCCGTTCCCACAGCTTCGTGTCCTTCTTATATTGGGGACCCCAGAGCTGACACAGTACTCCAGGTGGGGTCTCACAAGAGCAGAGTAGAAGGGCAGAATCACCTCCCTCGACCTGCTGGCCACACTTCCTTGGATACAGCCCAGGATACGGCTGGCTTTCTGGGCTGCCAGCACCCAGTACCTCACTTGAACACTCAGCGTGCTGTAGCTCTTAGTTATATCCCCTATGGAGTTGCATGTCCTCAAGACTGAGCTAGAGAAAGAAAAGCCTTCTATGTAGAAACCTCTATAGTTTCTGTTTTTGCAAATGCTGATGCAGAGAGTTCTTCTGGCTTCTCTGCAATTCCGCTGTCTTCTCTCAATGCTCCTTTGTACTCTGATCACTAGTGGACCCAGCAGGCTTCCTGCTTCTAATGTAATTGAAGTAAGATTTATTGTGAATTTTGATTCCTCTTTGTAGTTGTTCTTCAGATGCTCTTTTTGGTCTGCTTTAAGGTGCTTTTGCCAAAGTTTGAAAACATGACTTCGGTGGCTGAGTCAGGAAGAAAGCTATTTTCCATAGCTGCTTTGATGTTGCAAGAGAGCAGTTCTTCCAAGAAGATAGTTCAGAGCAGGACTTAACTGTAGTATTCTGAAATGCTTTTTTGGAAGAGCTTCCTCTTGCCACTGCCTATGTAATGGTGCATCTACCTTAGAATTTTGTTTCAGTGTGCATCTGAGGCACGTCTTACTGTTATCCTCATGTACTGCACTTTGATTTGCGTTGTGTTCTTGGAGCTCATGAACCAGATTCCTTTTATAGAAAACTAAACTGGAAAACATACTCCAGAAGAGCAATGATTGTGCTCTACAGAATAAATTATAAGAGGAGCGGACAAGGATTTAATTTAGTAACTCATTACTTCATTCTGAAAGGGTAAAGAGGGACTTGAGGAAGTCTATAAATCCCAGTTCTCTCTTAAAAAAACATTGACAGCAAGGTTAAAACATATAAAATAAA